CAAACCCCTCTCAGGTTTTGTACATTTTATACACAATATTGAGCTGAAGTAAAGGTCCAACTAAGGCACAACAATTTATTGTCATTGCAATATGAACATGTACCATAAACACAAAGAAAGACTGACTGAAATGCAATAAAATAATAATGAAGTGCAGACATTAGACCTGTCAGATAAAGCTCTAGAAACATGAGCATGGATTCAGGATGAATTAAAAGCTAAGGTTCTGGATAAAACATGCAGAACACTACAAACACTTTGAAACTGTAAGTTGCATCTTATATGTGTGAATTAATATGTACTGATTGCACGTCATCAAAACATTACAAAAATGGTATTGCATGTCTCAGATTGATCTTGTATAGTGCAGGTCTAGGTGCAACATTTCTGCCTCATTCAGTCTGTGTAGAGGAGCTCATGTTTCATGTGACTGGGCCAGAGCCGCGCTGATGTGAGCCCTGATGCTGTTCAGTTGGATAAGGAGGTGTGGTCTTCCTGACATTTGGGTTACAAAATAGAAGATAAAAGGTGTTCTTAGGTTTCCAGGGATTTACCACGATCCTACTCCCTCACAGAAACCTGTTTGATAACAAAGACTGTGCTTGTGATACAAGGCTGAGCAGGAACACCCAGCTTTAGTGAAGGTGTTAGTATCACTCCACATTTAATTACTAATCGTCTAAAAATAACTGCTTCCAATTAATCCCATTCAATATCTGCACTGAAAGAAACACAAACGAAGGCTTTTCCAGGGCTGAATATTTTCAAAGACAATTTCAGGAAGTTAAACTTTCACAATTACAAAAAGAAAATACATTTGTGTTTAGGTACAGCTCTGGGTGTGTGGCTTGCATTTCTCCCTATTCCTGTAAAATGAACAATCTGTTATCATAATTATTCTAATTCTTATGTATAGACTCGAACTAAAGCAACATTGGAGTTTTTTATACTGAAATCGATAAAATAAAAATGCACTAATGATAATTGATAGTTTTGAGAATAGAATGAGCTTTGAAAATAAAGATGTTTTTAAGAACAGTGCAACAACTATAGATTTGCTGATATTTTCAGAAGGCTGTTTTGTTAAAAAAAATAACATTACAAAGAATATATTTAACAGTAAATTGTCATCCTGTTGTTGTGCAGACCGACGTCTGCCCAGCTGTAACTCTCTGCTCCAGGTGTTGAGGACAAAGCTGTGAGCAGAGCTGCAACGATTTATCCACTCATTAAAAGAAAATGAAATTGAAAACGATTTAAATAATCAATTAATTGTTTCAGTCATATTTTTTACATCCACTATTTGCTGGTTCCATCTTTTTGATTTTAAGGATTTGCTGCTTTTTTTCATCATTCATGAGAATAAATGAGGAGTATTTGTTTTTTAAACAGTCAGTCTGACAAATCAAAAGTCATGGGATATTGTGATTAACAAATCAACTACACAATTAATAAATACAAAACAATGAGTAAATAAGTTGATTATGAAAAGAAGCATTAGTAGCAGGCCTATAGCTGAGAGTAATAAACACTATGAAGTCTGCTGGACAAACTCCATGATGGCACCATTTCTAAATCACCCCTGGTTATGTTCTCTGCATGAAATGATTGAAATGCATTTTTTAAAGGGCCTATATTGTGATACATAAGCTGATACTGGTATATAGGTAAAGGGCCCCTGATAACACTGCTCAGTCTCTAGTACACACAGTCCTACAGAAAAAATATCATCATAAAAATCGAGATAATGAAAGAGCAAATAAAGCACAGAGAGATTATTGTTAACGATCACTCGTCTGATTTAAAACATCAAAGTACATCAGCACATCGGGCTCATTGGGAGGCCGGTTTGGCAGAAGCATCAACCACTTGAAACCAAAGAGCTGATTGGACAGATGACAAAGGTTGCAGAGAGGTGGTCCACTAAGCTGTGGCCCTAAACACAGCGAGAGCAGCTTCATCCATCAAACCGAAAAAAAACACTGTCACAACAATAAAGAATTTCATAAGACATTACAGCTCGACTCTAATCAGGCTGCATTTCAAATCAGGTCGTCCTGAAGAGCAACAAACTTGGGTGAATCGTGATCTGCTCGGTGCATTTTTCTCCTGTGTGGTGTTTTAGGAGTCATTTTACAAGCTGTGGCTTCGAGCCAGACGGAGATGAAGTCGGACGCATTCAGCCTAGTGGACGAGTCTCTACAGTAAACAGAGAAGTCAGTGTCGCCGAGGCGAGCTCCAACCTGAAACCGGACCTCAAATCACAAATGCACATTGTATAGAACAGCAGACAATATATCACAAGGCCAGGAGACAACGCATAAACATTCAGCTTTTCCCACGCTGAGAAACCTGGAACAGTGCTGAGGTCTACTGGAGGAAAACAGCTTGAACCACCGAAAGGTATGCTAATCAAACCTGTAAATGTATCTGACCTCAGTCATCGGCCAGACAGATATGAAATGTAATGTGCATATGGTAAAGCTGTGAAAAGCTCAGGGTATGGAAGTCCGCCTGCAGAATGGGTTCAACAGAACCAGGGAGATTTATTCTGATTATTATATATCATATGTTGTGTTTATATCCAACCATCTGTGCTTCTTAACGTTTGGCACTCAGGACTGATTTGGAGGTGGTGCGGCCCCATGCTGACTAAACACACTGAGGTGTAAAAACCACACTGCGGAGATGGAGCAACAGTTTGGAAAGCAAAGGCATCAGTGTGTGAAACGGGTTCAACAACACCAGAACACCTCAGTGAGAAAATAGAAAGTCTAAATGAGACATAGTTCATAATAATCATCATTCTTACAACATTTTATCACCTCATGTATCTGTACACATTGACTGCATCACGATGCCCAGGTGTTAGTTCACACACTTCACGTGTCCTTTCATCTATTACCTAGAACTGAGTTGCACTTGCTGCTAAGTTGAGTCATTAACAGGACAGGTTCCTGGAACTTAAAGACAAGCAGATCTCAGAATAGATGGCTAAATTGGAGTTACACAAAAAAAAATAATGAAATTGAACAAACTCCCACTAACCACAACACAAAATGTCTAAAATGATGAAGCAGATTTCTACTTGAAGGCTTTGAGCTGCAGCAGGCGGACTAACCAGTGCTAAAGGTCAGCTCTGAAAAATGAGAACCTCACAGGAGTGTCGGTAACATTTTTACAAGGAATTGTCAAAACGACATTCAGGGTTCCTTCTCATTTTTCATTCCAAACTTCCAGACATTTTAAGACTCACGTTTCCAAACTCTCTGGTTTGATTTTTCAAACGGTAAAATCCAGCTTTTAAAACACTTGAACATACTGTCCATGTTTGAGAGTATATGTTTATAAATGGGGCGGTCAAGATATCACTGTGGTCGTTCAGTCCAGACTCTGAAACAGTTTGATAATGTTCCACCCTCTCATATCTCTGTAACTGTGCCTGTTTATTTGATATATAATTTGAATCCATGATATTATAATGTTGTTTCTCACATATGTTTTTCCCCTCTTTCTACGGAGAACCATGAATGAGTTAAAAAAGTTGAACAACTTCTTATTGTGCTGGTGTCTGTGCAGTCTAGTTCATTCACTGTCCATGAAAACAATGATTAACGCATGAAGGAGAAAACGTTCACTTCTCTGAAAACAACACCACTGCTTAATGAAGATGTTGATCCAAGCTTAGTATTTATTATTTGTGCTGTATGTACAGTGTGTAGTCGCAATGGAAACTAAACTGGGCCGACAGTCTGGAAACGTACTTCCTCTGTAATGACTGACATCGACTCCATGCTTCACTACACAGCACTTCATAGGAACCCTGTGCATAGAAGCAATATAGGATTGCATTGTGCTGCGTTCATGTTCTGCGCAGACTGATGTCATACGTGTGCTCCAAGGAAAGCTAGAAGGTTGTACAGTTAACTCCCAGGATGTAATTCTAAACCATACAACCTACTACCTCAACCCGGATGCACACATTAGCAACAAGAGTTCCTCTTATCTGATTGTTAAACAAACTAAAGCTTCTCATTGTACTCTTGATCCTTTAGAAGCATGATCCCGGTTATCAGATTTCTGGTTTTGTATTTTCTTATAGAGAGCTTCAGCGTTGTGCTTTCCTTCGATGTCAGAGTGAGATGATGAGATTAAAGTTCCCATAAAAACAAAATAAATGTGTTTTTATCAAACATGTCTGAGGCTAATTGTCACCAATACAAATGTTTCTGTCCCCAAATTTAAAAAAAGTCATAATTAGGATCAGTGTGCAACGAAACAGGTGAAAAATAAATCCTCATTCTCAAGCTCATTTGGAATATGTGAAATGCTTTCTTAAATGTTTTCGGCTCCTTCCCCCATGAGGTGCATTTTGATCTTCTTTCTAGCTAGCCGTTATGAGCCGTCACTGTGTGTCCACAACAAGTCCCGCCTTTGCTTCCTGTTTGTAAAGGAAAGGAGGGAAATGTGTGGAATAGAAAAAGCTCTGTGCGAGATGTTTCATGGGAACTTTAATGTGTTTATTACCCTTATATCATTTACAATAAGAAGTTAGAAATCCAAGAAGAAGAAAGAAAACCCGTAAAGGACGACGATCACACCACAGTGACAAAGACCCACAGAAGCGAGCTTGTGCTGACAGATGTGCCACAAGATCGGATCTACGGGTTTGTGCCAAATGGTTCAAGCCAAAGTATCAAAGTAAATATTAGAGTAAGGGCTAAAAGTGAAGCATTAATGAGACTCTCTAATTTCTACTCTTCAAAGTGTACAAGTGGACGATATCAATAAGTGAGAGATGTCAATCAAAATGCGGTGTAGGCGTTGGTCTAAAAAGCCAGACAGAGACAGTGAGTCCAGAGTTTAAAAAAAACAAACAAAAGGTTTTCAGTTTGGTTTAGCTGACACTTACAAAAACTTCAGCAACAACTTTTTGTTCAAATTCACCCCAAAAATGAAAGTTCATCAAACAGATGGAGAAAGGTTTTTTTAAAACTCACCCTCCATGGGAAGTGTCTCGCTTCGGGGGGGTTTGCTGCTCGGGTCAGCTTTAAGCTCGCCTCTCTAAAAAAAACAGGAAAAAGAAAGTTCAGTTAGAATGCATCAGAATGGTATGTAACAAAAGTGTTTTTGAGTTATCAGCAACACTATCATGAAACTGCATGAACAAAATGAGAAGGTGTGATGTGGAGAAAGGAAAAAGAGTATTAGGTCACATAACATGCCAGTAACTGTTCCAACAACATCAGATCCACAAGAGGGAAAAAAAACATCAATTACTGTGTTTTCTTAAAATTGCTGTGGCTCGGTCTGTGAGCGTCACATGCTTTAGAAATCCCCAGATATGAAATGAAGTCCATAATAATAACAATCCTAACTCCGCTGTGGACTGCCATCCCAAAGCAGCCCGCAGGATTGCCTTAGCAGCCCTCTTCCTGGCCGGCAGCAATGTGGCTGTGGTGAGAGGTTAGCAAAACTTAGTCAAGACCGCAGATAGCAGAGAGCTGAGCCTGAGAGGGATGCCAGTGTAATCAAGCATGCCACGGTCGGCTACCATTAACTGTGCCAGTGCCAGAGAGACACAAACAACGGAAGATTCCTGCGGCCGCACTGCGACAAAGGACAGTCTGAAGTGAGCAGAGAGTGAGAAAGACACTTACCCAAATGTCTACTACGCTGTCTGATTTATCATTTCTCTAAGTCCACACTTTCTATCTAGGTGTAAGCAACGAGCAGCAAGTGTTACGAAACCATTGCTGTTTTTCTTTTTTTGTTTTTCAAGTAATGTGAGGAATGATAAAAAAGACCGAGGGGTACTTCTGAACCGAGTCGCTGATACTGGGTTCAGTTCAGCGAAGTGCCGTCCGCCATTTTCTCCGTAACAAACAAGAAGAGAAGAAAAAATATGGGATAAAAACGATTAACTGGCATCATTGTTCAGAATTTTCCCCTTTTTTCTCCCCGTGTGTGTCTCTTTCTCCGTCTCTCTCTCTCTCTCGCTCGCTCGCCTGGCATCATTACAAACCCTGGGCTGCAAAGATCACATGATTTCCTACCAGAAAGCCACAGCATTCCCAGTAAGCATTCTGCTGACATTGTGAAGACATCTTTTGTCTAAATCAAAATGTTAGCCTGGGCCTGCCCCCCATCCCCCCCTCCTCCCAAAATCTGGCACCTTCTTGGAGGGGGCAGCAGTGTAAAGGGTGGTGTTAGGAGTCATGGCAACCCTACCTGGCAGGCTGCCCGGCACCCTGAGGTTGGGAGAAGTAGGGTCTAATATGGTGTTGAGCAGGAATGCTAAGTGCCTTCCAAAGTCAACTCTATGGGCGTGCTTGGTTGCTTAAGATTTCAGCGCAGATGCCAGAATTATTTTTTTGACAGAGCAAAGAGAAAAAGACTGGACACACAACTGAAGCTTCTGATTCACAGACATCAGGTGAAAAAGTGAGGTAAAGTTGATCTTCTTAATTAAGCTGAATGTAACAAAAGCATGTGAGGCCATTCAGCAAAGAAGATGATTCATAATAAATCAGATAGTTAAATATTGAACACACTTTATTGAAGAACAAAAAAAAAACGGACGCTGAGAGACGCAAATAACTTTTTTTTCTTAATCCAGATGTTGAATACTTAAAACTTATAGTAAACAAATATGGAAAGGTCACTCTTAGACAAGTATAAAAACACAGCAAGGATTGATTGTTTGCAAACAAAAGACACATGTAGACACTAACTAAACATTTCTATCATCTCTGTCTTAAAGGTTAAGGTAGCCTAAGTCTCATCCTGTATCTGGGGCAGAAGAACTTGTCCTCCATTGCTGCACACTGTCACTGTATATTGAAGCCAGGGAAGTGGCCAAACACAATCAGGTGGTTTGTTACAGTAACACGAGCATAAGCCACAGACCTGTGACTCACTAAAGAGCAAGGAATCCACCAGAGACAAGATTAAAGTTTGCCTCAGGAGCCTCACATACGCCGGCTTTCTCACTCAATTTAACACCAAACTGTTGAGCATCTGCCGCCCTCACACAACTCTGGTCGTGATGAGAAGAGGAACACTCTGCTGTTAATGTCACAATGATGATTGTCTTGTTCATTTTAACTCTTTGATTTTCTAATGAACGTGTCTGGGAAGACGTTTGGTCACACATAAATCCATCATAATAGTTGTTTCTATAGCCTTTATATGTGTGTGTAATTATACTATTATACTAAAACACAACATGCAGCTCCATCACTTAACTCACCATTAGAAGCACAATGAGCACTCCAGCTTTGAGGCAGAGATAAGTGTAGCACTGAAGACACCACACATACATCACATATGGAATTATTCACTGTAAGTCACTACCAGCAGCTGCTATACTTAAAAGATATTCCTTGTGTATATCTGAACAGCTTAAGTTCATATTGAGTGTTTATTTAGTGAATTTGGATGTCAATAAAGTAAGGTATGTTTTTAAGAACTGCTTCCAGAAACTCTGATTTAGAGCAGATTGTTGTGTATGTTCTGGCAGTATGGTTTATATAAAAACAATCAGGAGATGTTCAAAGAAACAATCACAGAGTTGTGAGGTCTCTAGGACAAGCCGAGAGAGACATTATTTCCCCCTCGGTCCAAGGAGCGGTCCAGTTCGTTAAACTGACCTTTAACGCCATGCACAAAACTGTAATGAAAGAAACTGGAGGAGAGGTTACGACGGCGCTTGCACATTGATTACATCATGTGCAGTCAACAACTCTCTGCTGTGATTAAAGAAAGTGTTGTCCACCCACACATCGGAGTAGTACGTTAAAAGTCTTTTCTTCTAATTTCTACTTATTGTAAATCAGTGGTTGTAGGAAACAGTGACGTCTTGGATACTCTGCAGCCCTAAACAAACAAAATGTCACCTTGAAAAGCCCCTACAGTTATTTCCATCATGCTCTGTGATGTCATGAAGGCAGCAAAAAGACGAGCAATGATCAATATATCTTTGGGTTATTTTCACCATTCACCAGCTCGTCTTTAAAAGTCAAAATAATGTGGAAATATAATCAGTAAGTTGGAGTCCTAGCCTGCTCATGTTTTGCTTGTTTTGACTTGCGTTACATTCGCTGCCAGCTCCTTGCCGTGGTTGTCAACTAGCCTAACAAATTATGCCTGACATAGCATTTTATGATTAGAGACATTTCCAACTTTGATTTTAATAAGCTGGAAACATTGAATGTTTTACTTTTCTTCCTAGAAAAATATCTGAAACCATAAATATTTTTATTTATACAGTTGGCACTAAACTGAAAATGATCCAGTTATTACAGAGAGAACGTGTTTATTAAATACTGATGAGGGCTTGTGAATGGTAGAGAATCTGATGATTAACCTCCAAATCTTTTCCTCATGGCACGTCTTAATTTGAACAATGCATATTATCAAAATGAACTAGTCCTCATGTGTTTAAAATGAAGCCCTACAGAATTTCTCCGCCTCATCATTAAACAGAGTCAGCTAACACAGATCCAAAACATTCTCCCGCTGAGAGGGTCATTTCATATCCTGAAAGGCAGGAGGCCAGGGTCAGAGTTCAAATGAGGATGGGGGGCGGTAGAAGACTTCCCTTGGGGGATAAACCATCGCACACCAGACAGGGGTGGAGAAATCAGACAGACCACTCAACCTGGTAATACATACCATTGTGAAAAATCCATAGTGAGTGGGGGAGGGGGGAGAGGAACATTGAATGTGAACCGTTGTGACGAAGCGTCATCATAGAAATCTGTTGTGGTTATACAAACAACAACACACCATATAGTAGAAACAACAACAAAACATCCCTAATGGACCTAAACCAACAAGTCTGAGACAAACATTTTTACGACCTTATGATACTTTACTGTCGGAACAGGTCGGATTATGTTCTTGCAGCACAGAAGCTTCACTTGCAACATGATAGAAAGGAGAAAAATGAAAGACAAACATTAAACATTAAAGATAACATTACAGTCACAGAGGCCCCTGACCTTTCCTTCAATCTGAGATTAAGCTCCAAAGATTTTATTTAAGGATTGACTAGAGTACAAATCATTCCTTTAGTTATAACCTCTTTTAAACATTAGAGATAATGTTGGTCACCTTCTTCACATATTATTATTTAAAGGATAATTCAGTGAGTTGACCAACAATGTTTGGAAATACTAACATTTGGTTGAGCAGCTTTGATTTCAAAATGTTCCACAGATAATCGTACCATGTTGTGTCACAACACTGTAAAATACACAAAATCATAGAAGTAAAAAAAAAAAAAAAGATTATCAACATTAAAGAGCATGGAAAAATATATGTTTTAATTTTTGCAGAGAAATACAGAATGATCTTTCCAGGATGAAATGCTCTAATCACTACGGTTTGCATTTGAATACCTGATTTTGATAGCAACAAGAGCTTTATGAGGGTCAGATGGTGATAATTAATTTTTTCTATAAATCTGAAGATTTTTAAAATGACAACAAAGCTCAGTTAAACTACATGCAAAGAAAAAAAAATGAATAAAATATGCACAGTAGTTCTTTGCAGATCTCCTTCTCACATGGAAACCCTAAATGCTGTATTAATGGATGGAGAGGCGTTCATTTGACAAATGGTATTTTGAAAAGTCTAACTCATTATGCTATCTTAACCAAAACAGTCCAAACCAGCAGTCCAAACTCTGGAAGTAATAATTGGTGCTATTTATTCTCCACAGGGACGCCAGAGACGGGGGAGTTATTTTTGGCTCAACATTTTTATCTCCATTAAATTCATGTTGCCTCAAGCTGTGACAGAAAACAGTCAACAGGTTAATACAGACAGAAGTTTATAAAGCTCAATGAGAGACGCACTAATGAAGTCTATTCAGAGTGTTGGACAATGTGACTTGACTTGCCAACTTTTAAAAGAAACAAAAATGCAAAGAATGTTTTGGATAACACCTCTCTCCTGAGTTATTTTTTATACTGGGTGCAGACTAGGATTGGCCATGAGAGAGAATCTGAAGCTGCATACAGAAGTTCCCCTGCAGAGAGTCAGAGCCTTGTGTGCCC